TTATTTAAACGTTTGTCGTGTTTCATTTTTTCTTCGATATTCGCTGTTGTAGTGGTTAATAATTGTGTTTTTCCTCTGGCATTGCGTGATTTTGCTACCGAAACAGCAGTTTCATTCCCCTACCCGCATTTGTGTGGTTTTGTATGTTACAAGACCTCGAAAAGGTCACTTGGCGACTGTGAGTCATTTGTTATGATATGGAATGAATATTTCAGGATGCAGGACGTTGTGTTAAAAGGTCACAATTGTTACGTATTGAAAGGACCAAGTGCTCTCGAGACAGGTGAGACAGACGGGCTGTTCCAAAGTTATTTGTGGTCACAGTCATTATACAGTAATGACGTTGATGATTCACATTCTTCGTGTGTCACAACGCGGACGCCCGCGTAATATTTCTCTTGGTCAATACAGGAAAACTAGGCCCTCCCTGTTCCTCGTAACTGTACGTTGGTTCGAGTAACGCCACGGACTAGAATTCCAAATTTGCCCTGTTCCATCATCCCGGAAAGATCTCTTATCTTAACTGAAGGTTTCGGTGCTTTTATTCCGATCTGTAGCGGTGGACCCCGGGCCGTTTGTTTGCGACGCAGGGACAGGAGAGGAGGCGGGGATTTTGCGTTAATTCATTGAAATACCAGGGAAATGGATCTTCTTGTGCTATCGGCTTATTATTTCGACAGATTTTAAATTCCTAATCGCTAAATGTTGATGCTCCTTTAGAGACAGAGGCCTGCATAAAATGTTCCCAAAGTCAGCTGCAGGGTTCTCGACGTTTTGCCACGTCTGTGTGGTTTTCAAGACCCACGGTAGAGCTACATCGGACACAAAATGTGTGCTTATTTTTGTGATTCTTGTGTCGCTCGGGCGCACGCGTGGCAGGCAGGTCACGCTTGAGATGCGTGCAGAAACGCTTAGGGACTTCGTGTTGTTCCCTCGTTGCCGTAGCATTTTGACCATATTTAGAATGCGCCAGCAAATTTTGTTAAACAACCATGCGGGCACACAGAAAGAGTCACGTTTTCGAAACGTCCGTTGCGCGCGCCCGCCAAAAATTAACGTTTGCCAGTGGAAATGGCACAATCTCCTCCGACCCGAGATTTCAGGACAAGGTGAAGGAGACCGTCCGGTGCCTTCATAGAACTTCGCCACTTTTGGTTGACATCGGTCGACAATAGCGGCATTTTACGCCAAATCTGCACGCGTTTATGTGTGCGGAGTCCAGAGGCGGTCGTCGTTGTCACGGATGCTGTGGTGAGCGTGGTTTCCTTGGTGACCACGTGTTGCCGCGTATCCACGTGTTCACGGCATGGCTCAGCGAGCACGCCAGAGCTGTTTTCTCTGAGCAGTGAGCAGGTTCCTCAACTTCTTAATTCTGTCGTGTTGTTCTTAAAGTTGCGAGGTACACCTCCCTGAAATGTGGTTCCGATATTTTCGTATAAAAGTGAAGGAAAAACTACATAGAATTAATCTGTAGTTAGATTTTCCAAGAGTGTTTAATGCGTACAAATACTGAGATGTGTTTGATATAAACAGCGTTTCTGGGGTCGGCTCTAGTCGTGTATAATTTATGAACCGCCCGACTTTATAGAGGATCAGTACACGTGGATGTTGGTCCCATAACAAGAAGAAGACGGAAGAAACTGAGAAATATGTTTACATTTGCAAACTGTGGACAGCATACAGCATGTCCGCTCGTTCATTCATCATAAAGTCGCGTCCTCTCCGCCCGCCTGACGCCGGGCTTTCGCTGACCAGAGCCTGTCAAAACTGTCTCCTGCGCCGTGGGGACTTTCTTCTCGTAACAACCTACCTTTCTCTTCCCCTCTCGAACATGTATCTTACTGATTATATTCTGCTACTTACGCATAACCTGGTACAAATATTCTCCTATATTTCTTAAATCTTCGGCAGCATTACAGTTTATTATTCAACTGTAAGCTACTTCTTAATTAAAAGTAATCAATTTTCTACTAAATATATGCAAAACATCTTTTCCCCTTCCACACGGAGGATCTTCGTTTCTCAGATCGCCCGCCTCAGTTTCCAGACGTTTTTCTTAAACCACTCCGACGCACTTCTCGCATTCCGCGTCCAGAGACACGTGGATGGTTCCCCACATTTCATATCACAATAAAATATCAACCGCCTCTTGCCTCTTACATCTGTAAAGAGACTCTGATGTTTTCTCTCCTTGCATTTTTCTTTAATATTTGCACATCCTGCCCACATTTTTATTCTGTGGATTGTGCCAATTATTTTCCAGTATTCTTCCGGTTAATTCTTGACTCCGCCTTCTACAAACGACCAACTAACTGCCAAATCATCTGAAACAGCAACCCACCGAGTCAGCCACTGGGTGTACCATTCGCGAAGAACACATTTTGAAAATACAGCATTTTTACTTTGTTTGCGGTAATTAAGACGACGCTAAATTTGAAAGGCTGTTATGAAAAGTGGCGCTTCAGCTGCTGCGGCATTTGAGCTCAAAGCAGTTATCGATCTTAGGCACCCAACAGCGTCAGTGGCATCACAACTGGCGCCAGTCCTTTGCTGCGAAACACCAACTCCGGGCTCAGACATGCGTCTCCATCCACTGGCTGATGCATTAGTCTAATGGTCACAATTAAAATTTACGCCCACATTTTTGGTGGCCTCATTTTCCGGGCGACTTTCGTTGCCGAATACAGGCTCCAGGCTTCCTCAGCACACGCGAAATAGCGGGTAACAAAGTCACCTTTACCACGCAATGCAGACGTGTGAAACCTGACACCGCGTCATCCCGAAGAACGTACTCCGGTACTCATTGCGTTGGAGGGCTCCACGCGGCGTGGCCCTGTCGAGGACCCAACTGTCCCGTTGTAGCTGTTCTTAATTTCGGGTTTAAATAGCTGTCCCCGGACTGATTGTCAGTCCCGGATCAGTACTGCGTAGTCCGTTGTGTCTGAGTTCCTGGGTCCGGCAAAGTACGATAAGTCGTCAGGAAACTTGGTGAGTCACGATAGAATTATTATTGTCCAGCCATCGGACTCGCAGTCACCATTATTTCTTCTAAGGCCAATCTGTTAGCCATTACTATAGCGATAAAACACTAATCTCAAAATAAAAATAACTTAATTTTGACACGCCTTGTATTTTAACTCGCTCCAAGACTTATGCTGCCTGCGAACAAAAGAAATTAGGGCCATTGCGTGGCAAAGTATTTTGAAAACCGAACCTGAAATTACACGCCACTCGGTTACACCCACTTCCGGTGAATTTTAAGACTGTCATCTGTTTCAGCAAGCGGGAGAGCAACAGACCGTTAGGGCAACTAACTGATTCGTAGATTCGTCTACTGTCGAGGTGGATTTCTGCGCGTTGTTAAATTATCTGGCGAACTTGCAGTTGGAACGAACAGTATCTCGGCCTTCGCGGAAATTCACCTCAAATGCAAGGGAGGCGCAGTCCGTTCTGAAACGTCGCAACGGCCCAGAAGACAGTCACCTTTCCTGTGCTGTAAGGCGCAATCTATGTCACCATATCAACGGATGTTATAATTTGTCCCATAAGCTCGAATATCCCGTAACGGCGTTGCCATGACAACAATCTGTATAATGAATGCTGTG